AAAATACATAAATTGAAAAATAAAATAAAATGGTACAGCCACTTTAGAAAAGAGTCTGGAAGTATCTCAAAGAGTAAACACAGAATCATCACAATTTCACTCTTAAGTAAATAACCAAGAGAATTGAAAATATATGTCCCACACAGAATCTTCCACATGAATGTTTATAACAACTTTATTTATAGCAGTCAAAAAATGGAAACAACCTAAAACATTGACTGATGAATGGATAAGCATAATGTATCAATTAGTGGAATATCACTCAGCAGTAAAAATAAATGAAGTATAATACTGGCACATGCTATACCATGAGTAAAACCTGAAAACATTATACAAAGACAAAGAAGGTCATCACAAAAAAACCACATATTATATGACTCCATGTACATTAGATGTCTACAAGAGACAAATCTAGTGAGACGGAGAGTAGAATAGTGGTTGGCAGGGACGTGAGGATGGAGGCAAGGGTGAGTGACTACAAATGAGGAAAGATTTTCTTTTGGGGAGGATGGTATGTTCTACAATTAAATGGCAGTGTACATTATCTCTGTGAATACACTAAAAACCACTGAGTTGTATACTTGGGTGAATTTTACAGTATGTGAATTATACATCAAGAAAATTATTAAAAACATTATGTCTTTCTGTTAGCATATTATCCAACTCTAACACTATGCTAACAATATTCTTAATAACAATAGAGTTCCTTCTGCTGATCTGAAATTTCTATTTAAAGGTCAAAATGGTATCAGTAGATTTAGTTTTTCCTTCTAAAATTCAATGGGTGGTATTATATTACCTCCATGTGCAATATGCACAAATATTTGTCACTGTTTTTAATCATATCAGAAGAGTAATATCAATAATAGTACAATGACCATAAATATTCAATTTGTAAAACTGAACCAAGAAATTCAATGACAACCTACTACCATTTCAAGTTTCCTTCAAATTTTATTAATATTTAAAATACATCTTACAGTTATAATAATGTTGCCTATACAACTTTTGAAAATGTTTGTAATTCCACCATCTAGTGATTTTAAATACGTACCTAATCAGAGCTTATCCCCATGCATATTTAGTAGTTGGAAAAACTGGCATAAAATCTCAAGTTAGAGAATGTACACCATAGTATTTCTAAAAATAGCTGGCTTTTAGTTATTGTGACTATCACCTGTTAAAATAACAACAACAACAACAAAAAAAAAACCCCAAATTAGCAGCATTTGAAATCTGCTTAACAAACCTATTCTTTGTTTTCAAACAAACAAAAAACTCTATTCTCTCATTGAAAAAACTTGTTATTTTACCAAATAATTATTTTCAATCAAAAGCACTTAATAGGGAATAGAAAGAAGGAGAAAATCCAATTTCTTGCAGAAACGGGGTGGGGGGGGACAACAGAAAGAAAAGCTAAGAATAAATTTGTACAAAGGTTGACTCACAAAATGATTCACAAGCACTTCCTGAATATTTTGTTCAAGAAAACTCCTCTGACTAAAGTGGAAATTTGTTTGGCCACAATACCTCATTCTATTATTATGATTAATGCCTTAGTGCCAAATATTTGTTCATGTGGCATATGGACAAGATAAATCTCATATGCATTAGTTTAAGTATTTAAAAACTTAAGTCACTTAGAAAAGAATCAATATGACATTATGGAAGGCAACAATAAAAACATCTTACACTATACCACAATAGCTAAACTGTGGAACCAACCTAGATCCCCTTCAGTAGATAAATAGATAAAGAAAATTTGATATATATAAACAATGAAATATTGCTCAGCAATAAAAGAGAATAGAATCATGGCATTTGCAGGTAAATGAATGGAGTTGGAGAATATAATGCTAAATGAAGTTAGCCAATCCCAAAACAAAAATGCCAAATGTTTTCTCTGTTTCAAGGAGGCTGATTCATAGCAGGGCTGGGAAGGGGAGCATGGGAGATCATCATTAGATGATCTCTAGATAGGGTAAAGGGTTGGGAAGGTAAGGGAGCGGGGATGGGGGTAGGAAAGACAATGGAACAAGATGGATATCATTACCCTAAGTACATGTATGAAGACATGAATGGTGTGAATATACTTTGTATACAACCAAAGATATACAACAAATTAGAATAAAAAAAATTTTACACTAAAAATAAAACAATTTGTTGTAGTTTTAACCATTTTGGTAAAGTTAAATTAGATGTAACAAACTGCTGCATTTTGACCCTTAACTGTTTTGCTAATGAAAAGGAACTGCAAAGTTGTATACCGTTCCTTCTAATTTCTAGAATTTCAGTTGTTGAACTATTGCAAGTGAACTAACAGTTTCAGAAAGCCACCAACAATTTTTGTTTGGTTGTTTTTTTTTGGGGGGGGTTACACATTGACCCAAAGTGCTCTACCTGCTAAGGGACATCCCCAGTCCTTTCTAAGTTTAGTATTTTGAGGCAGGGTCTAGCTAAATTGCCTTGAACATGTGATCCTTCCTGGCTCATCCTCTGGAGTTGCAGGGATTATAAGTGTGAACCAACACCAGTGTTAACTGACTAGTCATGTAATAATACCAGGATAACTTAAGACAAAAGCAGGTCTTTTGAAGAAAATAAATGGAGATGTTGACACTGAATCAAGAAATATCAACAAAGGGGGCTGGGGATGTGGCTCAAGCGGTAGCGCACTCGCCTGGCATGCGTGCGGCCCAGGTTCGATCCTCAGCACCACATAAAACAAAGATGTTGTGTCCACTAAAGATTTAAAATAAATAAATAAATTTTAAAAAAAAAAAAAAGAAATATCAACAAAGCACATTTGGCCCTCCCAAATCTGTCAGTTCTGCTTCTGCAAACTCAACCAGCCTCAGGTTGAAAATATTTGAAAAAAAAAGCACTTGTGTTTGAAAAAGTACAGACTTTTTTCCTTGTCATTTCCCTTAAACAATGTAGTCTAACAAGTATTTTATACAGTTATGTCCACTATAGTCATTTAAGTAATCTAGTGATTGAAAGTACATGGGAGGATATGTGAAGGTTATTTGACACTGACACTACATTATCTTTTATAAGGGACATGAACATCTGAAGATTTGGGTATCAGTGGGGGGATCCTGAAACAAAACACCAAGTACATCAAGTAAGGGACCACTGATTAAAGCCTACTTATGCTATTTTTAGAGTCCCAAAGAAGACTATAGTTTCTATCAAAACTCAAATAATTAGGGACTGGGGTTGTGGCTCAGTGGTAGCCGCTCAGTGGTAGCGCACTTGTCTGGCATTAGTGGGGCACTGGGTTTGATCCCCAGCACAACATAAAAATAAATAGATAAATAAAATGAAAGTATTGTGTCCATCTACAATTAAAAAAAAACTCAAATAATTAGCAACAAAAACTCTCAGATAAAAGATACATGATAAAAATTTTGAAACATCAAAATTACAGATCAAATCACTCATATTGGCAAGTAATATAGCAAAGCAAACGAAACTAGAAACAAAAATATAATTAACAATGTCAACAGGATCATATGTTAAGTCAGAATGTACCATGCCAATTTATTATATATTTCTTCCAAACTTAACCAATACACTGAGCATTTATATGTGAAACTCTATGCTATGCAACTTCATACACACATATATAATACAAAGATTCTCTAATATTCACAAAACAAAAACATGACATAGAAGGAACAAAAATAATAAACAGTTCTGTTCTTTATCCTAATATTGTTGCCTTTGCACCAGGAATACTAAGAACACCTTAACTGATGAGCCCTAAGCTTCAATCCCCCACCATTCCCTCATTTCTAATACATTTTGTCTTCAAGTAAATGTTTTCCTAACATTTTCATCATGTAATACTTCTATTCAACAACCTATAATAATTCTCTACTATATAATTATGTTATCTCTCTCTCTAAATATATATATATATATTTAATGTCAGAGGTGATTCTTTTATTCCAGACAAGTTGAAGAGGCACTAGGAAATTCTGCCTTAGACATTCTATCAGTTAAGAGATTTACTTGGATTAATAAATGCTTTTTTAAAATGCAAACATCTACCATAAGGGATTACCCTTCACTCAAATTTACACATTAAGTCAGGTGTGGTAGCACATACCTGTAATCCCAGCAACTCAAGGGGTTGAGGCAGGAGGACTGCAAGATCAAGGACAGCCTAGGCAATTTAGAGAGACTATCTCAAAATTAAAAGGGCTGGGGAGGTAGCTTAATAGTGAAGCACCCCTGGGTTTTACCCTCAGTACTGCCAAAAAAAGTGGGGGGCTGAGAGAGCATCCCTAAATCCAATCCTCATTACTACCAAAGAAAATGCAATGCAGTTTTAAGAAACAAGAAAAAAGGGATTTTTATTTTTTTTTAATTTGGTAGTACAAGGTATTGAACGCAGGGGCACTCCATCACTTATTTACATCCCAAATCCTTTTTAATTTATTATTATTTTTTCCTTACTGAAAATTTTTATTCATATTTGACAAATATTTCTCTTTCCATTTTTTTCCTGGTACATTATGTTGCATATAATGATGGGATTCATTGTTACATATTCATATCTGCACAAAATATAATAATATTATTTGGCCAATATCATTCCCTAGCACTTTCCCCTTCCCTCCCCACCTCCCACCTTGTGGTCCCTTTCATGAGATAAGCCCTCCCTCACTCCTTTCTTCCCCTTTTTTCCTCTCTAGCTTTCACATGAGAGAAAACATACGACCCTTAACGTTCTGAATTTGGCATGTTTCACTTAACATAATGGTTTCTTTTTCATGCAAATGACATAATTTCATTTTTCTTTTTGACTGAATAAAACTCCACTGTGTGTGTGTGTGTATGTGTGTGTGTGTGTATCACATTTTCTTTATCCACTCATCCATTAATGGATACCTAGGCTGGTTCCATAGTTTGACTACTGTACTGCTATGAACATGGGTCTGCATGTATCACTACAGTGATGATGACTTTAATTCTTTAGGATAAATGCCAAAAATATGGAACCCTTCATAAATTTGCATGTATTCCTTGTGCAGGGGCCATGTTAATCTTCTCTGTATCCTTCCAATTTTTGTATATGTGCTGCCAAAGTGAGAACCTTTTTATTTTATTTTAAGACAAGGTTTCCCTAAATCATGAACTTGCAATCCTCTTCCACCGTTTCCTAAGTGGCTGGGATTACAGGTATACACTATACCCAGCTAGACTTTCATAGTCCCCCCCCCTTTTTTTTTCCCATCCTAGTACTAGAGATTGAAACCAGGGGCATGTTTTAACCACTAAGCTTCATCTCCAGCCCTGCTCCTTTTGAAATATTTTTAGTTGTACATGGACATAATATCTCTATTTCATTCATTCACTTCTTATGTGGTACTGTGGATTAAACCCAGTGCCTAACTCTGGGTTTAATTAAGTGGTTGAGGAATCGCTCCACTACTGAGCCACAACCCCAGCACCCCAGCCTTTTTTTTATATTTTATTTAGAGACAGGGTCTCACTAGTTGCTTAATGCCTTGATAAATTGCTGAGGCTGGCTGTGAACTCATGATCTTCCTGCCTCAGCCTCCCAAGCCGCTGGGATACAGGCATGTGCTACCATGTCTGGCTTAGACTTTTTTGTATTTCTTATGTGTTTATTACTTCTACTAAAACTACAAATTTATTTTAATTTTAATTTTTTATTTTATGTTATTAAATTTTTTTTTTTTTAGTTGTCAATGGACCTTTATTTTATATGTGGTGCTGAGAATCAAACTCAGGGCCTCACATTGCTAGGCAAGAGTTCTACCACTGAGCTATAACCCAGCCCTAATTTTTTATTCTATTAATTTATTTTTAAAATTTCAGATTTCTTTACATCTATACCTTAGTAAATCAACGCTCTTAATAATACTTATTAAAAGGCATGACAAACCAAAGGCCAGATTAAATGTCACTGTTTCAAAAATGTGTTATCATTTTTTAAAATTAGAATACACTTGGTAACCACCACCCACATCATAAATTCCTTTTACATTTCCTGTATTACCTAAACCACAACCACGAGAAAAAAAAAATATATATATATATAAAACATTTGGGGGAGGGCTGAGGAAGCTTACTGAAAGCAGACTGATGCAAAATTTATATGCCCTCTGCATTTCTATGTAAGAATAAGGAATAGTCAAGGGTTGAGGACATAAGAACAGAAAGCAAAAAATCAGTACAATCACCATTTCTACCCATCACTGATACCATCACCATCACCATCCTCATTTTCATCATCATCTTAAAGGGAACTCATAAAAGCAGTGAAGTAGGGTGGGGAAGACAAAGAAAACACACAATGTTATCTAACAGCAACAAACTGACATGCTCAGGAAACTCAGCCTGATTCCAAAAGCATATAAAAACAACTTAGAACTTTTCTACTATCACATGGAAAATTTACGAGTTCATTTATAATAGAATAATCTCAGGAGTGTTGAGATTTTTCTCAACCTCACACCTCTAAAGTACAAACAAATTACGGTGTGTTCTTGGTCAAACTGTTGTTACGGATTAGCATTGGTATTCAGTTATTCAAGATAAACATAAATAATTACTAAAGCAAAACAGAAATAGCAAAAAATCTCTACAACTTAATGACTCTTACCTGTTCACTCTCCTAGGACACTTGTCTGGTTTAATATCTACCTCATAGAGGTAGACATCAATCTTTGGGATCTCAACTTGAAAACAGTTAGCCAGCAGTTTAATGGGTTTGCCCATGGTGCCATAGCCAGGTCTTCTGGGCACCATGAGTAGGGGCTGGGCCCCAACAGGTCCTGTCAGGAGGGGAAAAAAAGAGTTATACTGTTACAATCTGCATTTGATAACCCTGTCAACTGGAGGATGTTACAAAATGTGTGTGAGAACAAAAGCAAAGTAAATAAGAAGAAAAAAGGCAAATATTAACAAACTAGAAACAAAATATAATAAAATGTTAGAAAAGCACAAAATACATTTGAAAAAATAAAATTTTAAGTTCTAGGCAATACTGATATTTTTTAAGATGAAGAAAAGGACTTATGTAACCAATGTTAAAAATAAAAAATTGATACTCACTACAAATTCTGAGGACATTATAAATATTATGCCAATAAATTTTATAGTTTGATGAAACAAATTCCTAGAGAAATCCAATTGACACATAAAAGTATATAAAAATCCAAAAAGTCCTGTTTAGGAATATAAAATGGAGTATGTGGTTCCTCAAAAACTAAAAATAAGCCAGGTGTGGTAGTGCATGCCTGTAATCCCAGCAACATGGGAGGCTGAGGCAGGAAGATGACAAATTCAAGACCAGCCTCAGTATTTTAGTACAAGACTCTGTCTCAAAATGAAAAAAAAAAAAAAAAAAAAGGACTAGGGGTGTAGGCTTAGTAGTAAAGCATCCTTGGGTTCAATACCAGTCCCCAAACAAAAAAACCCTAAAAGTAGAATTATCATATTATCAAGTAATTCTATTTTGGGGTATACATATACTCAAATTAATTAAAAGCAGAAAGAATTGAACAATAAGATATTGGTATACACATTCACAGGAACATGACTGACAACACTCAAAAGGTAGAAGTAACTGAAGTGCCCACAGATGCATGAATCATAAACTAAATGTGGTATATATAAACAATAGAAAATTATTCAACCTTAAAAAGGAAGAAATTCTGACAAATGCTACAACACAGATTAGCACTGAGGACATAATGCTAAGTGAAATAGTTAAAAAAAAAAAAAAGACAAAAACTGTCATTCCCCTTATATGAAGTACTTAGAATACAATTTCACAGAAGAAAGAAACCACAAGTGTGGTTGATAGAGCCAGGCACAGTAGTGCACGCCTATAATCCCTGCTATTCAGGAGGCTGAGACAGCAAGTCCATGTCTTGAAATAAAAAACACAACTGGGGAGAGCTGGAGTTGCAGCTCAGTGGTAGAGCACTTGCCTTGCTTGCGTGAGGCACTGGGTTTGATTC